GAGCCCCCACCCCTTCCCGCCGTCTCGCGGGGCCCCAGACCCAGGCGGGGGGGCGGGGCGGGGCCCCAGGGGCCATTCGGCCTCACGGTAGTTTGTTTGAAGGCGAGCCGCAAAGTGCGGTCTGCTCGTGGATTGGCGGAACCTCACCACATGACCGCGGCTCCCCACCCACAATGCTCCTGGATACCTGAGCGCTCTCAAGCGCCCTGGAGGCCACAACCTTCGGGGCTGTCCCCTCTGGGGTGAATGGGGTTCGGACATTTATAGTTTGTCTCGTAGGCTGGGAAGGGAGAAGGACAAGGGATACAAGAACTAGCATATATGTTTCCCGCGACGGTCAAGAAAGGTTATCTGGGGTCCCCAGCTTCGCAGGCCTGTTGAAGCGGGATCTAGTGCGCAGGCGCTGGAGGGGAGGTCGTGGGAAGGAAAGCCGACGTGGGAGCCATTGCGCAGGCGCGAGGCTTTTCTCTGCGCCCTGGTTGGCGGTGGAGGTCCCCCTGCGAGCTTGCAGCTGTCGGCCCTTCTTATGTAACTTTCTTTACATCTCCGTTCCTCGAGGGACCTCGGCATAAGAGCGTCGTCTCTGAGTCCGGAGCGGGGCAGCCCTCAGGATTGAGCTCCTGGGAATTGTCTCCGGCCCATCTGTCGTGGATCCCGAGACCGGCGGATCCTTTCCGCAGGAGTATTTGCCAAAAGCATTCCCGTCAGGCGCCTGCCGTTTGTTAACCAGTTCCACCTACTTATGGTGGAAGAAGGCTTCCACCTAGGGGCCCGAGCCAGTGACCTTGCCTATTCCCCTTTTTCATTAACAAAGGAGCAGTTTAACTTTTAAAATGCCGAGTTGACCTGGCGCGGTGACTCACGCCTATAATCCCAGCACTTTGGAAGAGAAATGCCTGAGCCCATGAGTTCGAGACCAGCCTGGGCAACTTTGCGAGACCTCATCTCTACAATAAGTCAAAAAATTAGCCAGGCATGGTGGCATGTGCCTGTAGTTCCAACTACTTATAAGTCTGAGGCGCCTGAACTCAGTAGGTCAAGGCCGCGGTAGCCATAAGCGTGCCACTGCACTCCAGCCAGGGCGACTGAGACTCCGACTCAAGGAAAAAAAAGCCGAATTGAATTTGGTTACCATAGAAAAAGGCTTTTTTTGGTTGTTTTTTGGTTGGAGTCTCACTCCGTCGCCCATGCTGGAGTACAATTGGCACGCTCAAGGCACTGCAGCCTCCATCTGTCTTGACTCAGGCAGTCCTTCCTCCTCAGCCTTCCAAGTAGCTGGAACTACAGGTGCGCACCACCACGCCCGCTAATTTTTTGATTTATTGTAGTGACGAGGTGTCACCAACTTGCCTAGGCTGGTCTCGAACCCCTGGGCTCAGGAAGCCCTCTTGCCTCTACCTTCCAAAGTGCTGAGATTACAGGCGTGAGCCACCACCCACGACCCAGAAAATTGTTTTAACTGGAAAATTGTTAACTGGAATTTTTGGGAAGGAAGAAATGTAGACGTGTTTTGAGTCTGAAACTGGAAGCAGGCTAAATGTCCATCATTTGGGAGCAGTGTATAAACTATGCCACCTTCACATAGGTATATCAAGTGACTGCAGAAACGAAGAAGGCAGTTCTGCAATAAAGAGGATGTTTAAAACCACAGGTCAGTCCATGTGACTCCTAATCAAAAACTCTAATGTCTTCCCTTCTCATTCAAAAATGTTTAAGTCCTTAGAATGGCTTAAATAAAGCTCTGCAATCTCACCTTCAAGGACTTTCACCTCTGCTCACCCTGTCCCATCTTTCCTGCTTCCAACAGACTGGGCACTCCCTACTTCAGGGCCGTGTGTCCTGCTGCTGTTCCCTCTACCTCCAGTGTGCTGCCTCGGGTGCTCATCTCCTTCAGATCTTAGTGTAAATGTCACCCTCTCAGTGAGGCCTTTTCTGACCTATTTCATTTTACTTATTTATTTACTTATCTTTTTTTTTTTTTTTTTTTTTTTTTTTTTTTGAGTTGGAGTCTCACTCTGTCGCCCAGACTGGAGTGCACCACAATCTCGCCTGCTGGGCTCCGGCGATCCTTCCGCCTCAGCCTTCCAAGTAGCTGGAATTACAGGCATGCGCTACCACGCCCGGCTGATTTTTTGATTTATTGTAGAAATGAGGTCTCGCTGCCCAGGCGGGTCTCGAACCTGCGGGCTCAGGCAATCCACTCACCTCAGCCTCCCAAAGGCGCGGGATTACAGGCTGAGCCACCGAGCCCGGCTATTTACTTATCTTGAGTTGGAGTCTCACCTCTGTCGCCTAGGCTGGAGTGCAGTGGCATGATAAAGGCCACCACAGCCTCGAACTGCTGACCTCAGGAGATTCTTCCACCTCAGCCTTCCAAGGAGCTAGAACTACAGGCGCAAGCCACCACACTCAGCCAGCTAATTTTTTTTATTGTAGAGAGGAGACCTTGTTAAGCTGCCCAGGCTGTTCTCAAACCCCTCAGGCAGTTCTCTTGCCTCTGCTTCCCAAAGTGCTGGGATTACAGGTGTGAGCCACCACGCCCAGCCCTGACTTCTCAATTTTAATTTGCAACTCTGCATCTGCATTCTTTGCTTTATTTTATCCATAGCATCAATTGAAAAAAATATGTATCTCAGGAAGAATACACAAGGAAGAAGTACCTATGGTTACTCCTGAGAAGAACAACAAGGGAACATGTGGGTAGACTTTCCCTTTTCTCTTGTTTGATGTTTTTTCCATTTCTTATCTGCATGCATTACCTTAAAAAAAAATTCAGTATCAGAGAATACTCATGTTTGTGGCCCAAACATGTTCTGAGCATCTGTCTTGTGCTCAATGAAATCCCTGGGGTAGATGGAGACTACAAGCCTGTAGCCCAAGCATGAGGGCTTGCAATTCAGTGGGGGAGAGAAAGCACACAGTTGGCCTTGGGAGAAAAGGGAAGCCACAGGCTGGGGGAACTGCACATTTCAAGACATGCTGACTTAGTATAGCGTGACAGTTCTCCAAAACCTTCAGGGTGGCAGGGATGAAGACATGGCAAATGGACATAAAGATCAGGGAAAAGAGGCAGAAAAAAGAGGAAAAGCAGCCTGTGGTAGGAGTTTGATTATTTTCATTTTCCTCAAAACGGGAGACGTTGCAAGGTCTAAAGCAAAGGAATAGGCTGGGCATGGTGGCTCATCTTGTAATCCCAGCACTTTGGGAGGTGAAAGTGAGAGGATTACCTGAGTCCAGGGATTTGAGACCAGCCTGGATAACATCGGGAGACATCATCTCTACAATAAGTCAAAAAATTAGTTTGGTGTGGTGGTTCACATCTGTAGTCCAGCTACCTGGAATGTTAAAGTGGAAGGATCACCTGAGCCCAGCAGGTAAGGCTATGGTGTCTGTGAGCATGCCTCTGCACTCCAGCCTGGGCAAAGGAGTGAGACTCTGACTCAACAACATAAAAAAAAAAAATCAAGGGAATAATATGCTGAAATTTGAATATACCTCATAAAGATCTTTCTCTCATAAGAACTGAAGAAGCATTAGGCCAGAGGCAGCAAACTCGTGGCCTATAAATGTTTTCTTTGGCCCACATTCCTTTTTTTTTTTTTTTTTAAAGTCACGGTCTCACTGTCACCTAGGCTGCGGTGTGACCATGACTCATCAAAGGCTTGACCTCTTGTGCTGAAGCATTCCTCCCACCTCAGCCTCCTTAGTAGCTGGGACTATAAGAGTATATTACCTAGCCCAACCTATTTATTTATTATTTATTTTTGTTGAGTTGTAATCTCATCTCTCACTCAGCCTGTAGTGCCATGATATACTCACAGCCACTGCAGTCTTGACCTGCTGGACTCAAGTGATCCCTTTGCCTCAGCCTTCCAAGTAGCTGAAGCCACAGGCGGGTGCCATCACTGTGGCTAATTTTTTGATTTATTGTAGAAACGAGGTCTCACCAAGTTGCCTAGGCTGGTCTCAAACTCCTGGGCTCAGACAATCCTCTGGCCTCCGCCTTCCAAAGTGCTGGGATTACAGGTATGAGCTACTGAGCCCAGCCCAACCACCTTTTTTAATTTTTAATTTTGTAGAGATGAAATCTTGCTACATTGCCTAAGCTGGTCTTGAACTTCTTAACTCAAGCAATCCTCTCACCTTGGCCTCCCAAAGTGCTAGAATTGCAGGTGTGAGACACTGCACTTGGCCTGGCCCAGATTTTTTTTTTTAAGCTGCCAACACAAACAAATGGAGCAACCAGAACTCAAGTGAAAAACTGTTTGGCAGTATTTTTGGAGGGGTGGGGGGAGACAGGTTTTTA